TGAACCCTAAACCCTAAACCCTAAACCCTAAACCCTAAACCCTAAACCCTACATGGCGCTGTCGGTAGTTGGCATCGTTGTCGTTGCGATTTCCTCTCGTTCAGGAGCTCAGATCTGGGGTTTAGACCCGGGTTTAGGGCTTAATGTAGGGTTTAGGGTTTAGGGTTTAGGGTTTAGTGTTTAAATAATAACCCACAGTATACTATTTTGGGGGGTTCATCATGGCACATATAGTATAAACACACCCCGAAAACCCTATTCTAATTATTAAGGCCCCTATATTGGGCTATGAAGTTCCCTAAACCCTAAACCCTAAACCCTAAACCCTAAACCCTAAGCCCTAAACCCTATTCTAATTATTAAGGCCCCTATATTGGGCTATGAAGTGTAGACTCCTCTAGGCCTAGACAAAGCCACACAAAATCCTCGCCATCTTACTTATCACATGGGTAGTTCTCTAAATTAGGGTCCCTTTTATTAGGTCCCCAATATAGTACGGCACCGTTACAAAAAGGACCGAACAAGGGACCCTAATTTGGAAAACGACCCACATGCATTGTACTTGCTGTTTGGTTCACCACAGGCATGGCAACACAAGCGAAGGCCATAGTTCACGCGTAGCTTGAAAGGCTCGAGTCCATTCTTCTTGTGATTTGCAAATTCCTGAGATTTAGCTCCACAATGAGGCTGATGCTTGTGGCGGCGCTCACCTGCACCTCCTTGGCCACACGCATAGCTATGAAGAGTCAGCCTGAGTATAACCCAGCTGCTACTGCATGTTGGGGTCGCAAGTTCTCGGAGACTGACGGTTGCGACTCGTTTGGGACAGAAAAGGAGTGCGTTTCACGTTACGTTTTTTCGAGGGAGTTCAATGCCTTCGGCGCGTGCCACTGGTGGAGTACATCGTGGCGTTCAGACGATTCAAACCTTTTTGGGCGCACGTATCGGTTTCTTGATCACTATCCGAGACCCCCTCCAGTTCCCTATCCGGATTACGAGCCAGAGCAGTGTGTCTTCGCACTGGCCCCGGAGAGAAAGATTGTTGATTTCTTAGACGGGAGCGATGTTTTCTACTGCCAGCCAGACGATCCTGGTGTCGGCATCCCATTTACTCAGCCAGTGCCGTTGGATGAGTGCGACCCAGCAGTCATCGAGCAGCAACATAACGGCTATATGCTATAGTACAAGGACCCCTGACCTGCGATAACCCGACACGCTGAGCTCTAAAACCTAAACGGGCCTAAACCTTGAACCCTACATAAACCCTAAACGTTCAACCCTAAAGCTTACATGCGATGGTGCGAGGAGTTCTGTGTGAAGCAGCTTTGCGCTATGGCGAGGGAGGGCTCCTGGTATGGGTGGAGCTCATGGGCCCTCGAGTGGGGTCAGCGCCTTCCCTGGCCCCAATACAGCACCTTGGGTTTAGAATTCAGGGTTCTTAGTGGCTGAGTGATTAGGCTGTACCCTCTAGAATCTAGAACTCAAAGTTTGCACCTAGTTTTTGGGGGCTTATGAACGCAGCAACTAAGGCACTGCCGTGAATTCCTGGGGATGGGCCACGGCCATGGAGAAGCTTTGCTTGGTGCCGCCGGCATGGACCGGGGCACCGTGGGGGGAGTATCTCTTCGACGACATGATCTACCACGACGGCACCAACCTCATCTGGAACCAAAAAAAGTGCCCCGCCACGACGAAGCCACGGAATTCGTGGTGATCTTCAGCGACCCAATTCATTTAGGACTCGTCCTCGAGGTTTGGGATACGTGCTCAGTCCGATTTTTTCTGACACTTGGTGCACTGCTGCATCGTGCGCGAAAAGGGTGACAGCAGCAGTGGTAGCAGCGACATCATCAGCGTCATCGCAGTCATCGTTATGTTTAGGAATGTCGACATCACTGTCGCAGCAACTAACGCCCATCATAGCCATCATCATCATCATCATCGTCATCATCATCACCATCTTCTGCAGAATCATCATCATCATCATCATCATCACGATCATCATCACCATCACCATCACCATCACCATCACCATCACCATATTCTTGAGAATCACCATCATCACCATCGTACTCACCATCATCCCCATCATCATTGTCACCATCATCATCAACATCACCATCACCATCACCACCACCGTCACCATCACGATCTGCTTCAGAATCACCATCATCACCATCATCATCATCATCATCATCGTCATCATCATTATCACCATCATCATCACCATCACCATCACCATCACCAGCACCATCACCAGCACCATCTTCTTCAGAATCACCAACATCACCAGCATACTCACCATCATCCTCATCATCATCGTCACCATCATCATCAACATCATCTCATCATCATCATCGCCAGCATAATCACCATCATCGCTATCATCCCCATCATCACCGTCTTCTTCACATCATATTACCATCACCATCACCATCCCGATCACCATCACGATCACGAACATCACCATCATCATCCTCCTCATCCTCATCATCCTTATCATCCCCATCATCATCACCACCATCACCATCACGAGCACAATCACCAGCAGCAGCAGCAGCAGCATCATCAGCATGAACGTTAACATCATCATCGTCATCACCAACACCATCATCATCATCATCATCATCATCATCATCATCACCATCATGATGATCATCATCATCATCAGCATC